ATACATGGCCAAAATGTTTCCTAAGAACTGTGTACAAAGATAAATCTATTATGAAAAGTAAAGCTACAAGTAAGTCTATTTCCAAATTAAATGTTCTGAAAAGTGCAATAGTTTTGTGGTATAATCTAAGTATAAAATCTTAAACTCATTTTCATATTATTGAAAAGAAATACAAAATTGTATTAGTATAGCTGAAGAATAAATCAATAAATATGATGCATGGTTTAAGCACTTTCATGAGTTCTCAGGATCAGAACTGAATATAATACTAGGATGAAACAAAGAAAAAATAAATCTATCAAGTATATACTTTTAAATTACCTGAGAAGTTTCTGTTTTTGTTTGGTTGTTAGTGACTTTAAAAATTCAACTTCTGGATCTTCTTCACCCTCACTTGCAACATACTCCTGAGTCAACAAAGATATCATTAAATTGCTAGATTTCAAGACAAGTTAGTTAACAGATAGGAAAGAAAACATTTATAAATAAGATGTTTTGTATTAGGGGCACACAGCAGATGAATATGAAATTTTGGATTGGGAACCGGGAGGGAATTAAAACCATTGTTTTGTAGTCTACCTGCCCAGGAGGATCATAATAGACTAAGAGGTTAACATGACTGCTTTGCCAGCACTAGGAAACTTTATCAGGAAGAGGACAACAGAGGAACATTAATAAAACATTTATATCACGGTTTGCACTCTCTAGCGCTTGAATTTAAACACTTGCCAGTTTAAATATTTTATTTTTAACTTAATAATATATAAAAAACAAGAAGATCATAAACCTTATAGGAAGGTCAAAATATCCACAATTTTAGCTTTTATTATTTCAATACATTATCAAACATATGATAATATAGCCTTTCAAACGCAATCATTTTCTGGATTTATGTATAGTTTAATAAGTTAAAGAAGTTTAAAATATTTTCTATAATTTTTAGAGGTTTATTTTTATATACTTCTTCCATTGGTTCTATTTAATGTCACCTCAGGGGCATGTTAAGAGGAAGGAGAAAACAACAACCTTATTAGTTGTTCAGTTATATACTGCATCCACATAAACCCCGAGGAACAGTTTCATTTATTAAAATATAGGTTTACAAACAATTTCTCATTTAGGTTAAAATACTAAAGAAGCAAAAGCAAAATACATTTTGGGCATTTTCTTTGCTCTATCTTACTTTCCTATGGATATATGCATATTGGAAAACATTAAGTAGCAATTCACAAGCAATCACATTTAGATTTATAGACATTTTCAGCTTACTGATAAAAAGATCATTACCTGTGATGGATCATTTGCGGTCAAGTTTCTCCCCAGTACATTTCGTTTCAGTGCAAACCCACTGTTTCTCATCTCCGCTATTAGCTCCGAGGGGTGCATCGATGGCCCTGTTCAAAAAAATCACAGTTTGAATGTATCATTTATATCTCTCTACCTTTTTCGGACTCCACAGTAGGAATGCAGTTGAAGCTTTGTTAAGTAAAATCACAGCTAAATCAACTCAATAATCTTCTGCTGAGCAAATAATCAGATATGATTTTCTAAAACAGCAGTCTGGAGATTCAGAATAGAAAATAATTGCATTTTTCTTTACGTGCAAGGGGAGTCTCTTCTTATGTAACTTTGTCATCTTGAAAAAGATACATTTATATCTTGTCTGGTTGGCAATTTTTAGTATAAAGTCAAAGCAAAATGATAAAAAACTACAATTAAATTTTTAAT